GAATTTAAAGAAAATAGAAAGAAGACCCTGGACAAGCCTATTTTAATCATAGAAAGAGAGTGTTTTTTTTTCTTCAGACGAGTTATGATGCACAATATATTCCCTTTTGAAAGAAAACTGTTGGATGTATCAGTAATACATGGATAAATGCAGCATCATGAATGTATTGTGGAGGGGGGGGGGGTTTAGTGGTGAAGAAATCTTGGAGTTATTAAGTCCCAGTACAATGCTTGAATATCGTGAGTTTTTGCAATACAAACCGAGCACATCCTGTCTGGGTTTAAGAACGAGTCCCTCCCCCCCCCCCCCTATTTGAAAGAAATATTGTGATTAAAAACTCCCAAGATGTGTAAGGTTTGAAATGTTTGTTTTGTTTCTTAAACTGCCCCACCTTGAGCATAGAAGAAATACAGATGTGTGTAAATGGTACACAGATATTTTACAACTTAGACAGCGAACAAAAACATATATAATATATATCTTACTAAAGAGAGTTTGTTTGGCAGCAAACAACAAAATAAGTTGAAGGCAAGATTTCAACAACAACTGAACAAAAGACACAAAAATAAAAACAAAAAAACACAAGTAATACTATAAAGTCTACAGAAGATATTGTCAGTGCTAAGCACGTATACTACAATACAAAGATTTACAACAACAAAATATATATATTTATATACCTCTCTGTAGTATGTTGAATAAATCTAGTCATCTGATTGGTCGAAATTTGAGTCGTGATTTCAGCCATGCCCGCCTACCGGTCAATAGATATTTAAAAGATGCCCGTTGCCCCGGGTATTAAACGGGCCGCATAAATAAATTTTGCTGAGACCCCGTTGGTTTATACGTGTAAAAAATCTTTGTGCGAGCGCGGATACCATACAGTGCTTTTTGTCTGCGATTCCCGAATGGTCGTAACATTCATGCAACTTTCCAGCGAAGATAAAAAAAAATATATAAAAGATATATCGACTGCTTTAATATTCGAAGCATATAGCTGTTTCTATACTGGCTCTCGGAAAGCGCCCCGGGCGCCTCTGGTCATTATTAGGATGAACGTCCCCTTGAGCCTATATAAACAGCGATGCCTCTCATGGCAGTATCTGCAATAATGTATATAACATTTAATATTATACACGTGTACATGTAAGAGTCTAATGCTTTGAGGAAACAAACACGTTTTTAATCCAAACTTGGACGTAATGATTTTACAAAATTGAGACGGATTCTGTAACTGTTTCACAGAATTTATATTGAATGCAATGAAATTTGATGTTAGGTCTACTTTTATAATATTTCTTAGCATAAACTGCTTACGAATGTTATCAAAGGCTGATGGACATACGATAACATAATGAAATTAATCACCTTGTACACTTTGAGATCACAATTATTATAAGAAACACAATTCTAGAAGTTAACTATAGGCAAATAACGACTAGTGACGGGCAGCTTACTATTACCACATCGATATTTACATAAAGGTGTTCTATCATTAAATTCCAACTTTAACGATCCATAGATGATTTCATAGCCTATCTAGGCGGGTATTTTCTACCCCGTTTTTTACGCGACCCATAAATTTGACATTCCGCTCATGTCTAATTAGGTGGTCTGTCAACGACAGATCACCTATTGATTTCGCTAGAATTTTCTTTATTCTTTCTTTCTTTATTTTTATTTCTTCCGTACACTTTTTTGTGCACACGTTTACTCGAAATCGACAAGGTCAATTTCCTTCAAATTTCTGTCAGTCATCAAGCTCTATGATATCAAGTTCCTAAAACCTTTTTCAAGTTCATGGGGTCATCGTGACGTCATCCAGGCGCCATTTTGTAAAAATCAGGTCATTATCATATCTCGATAACGAGTATTAAAAAATAAACCATATTCGGTATACATCAATTTCAGGTCAAAGGTCAACTAAAAATGTCAACAAATTCCGCGCGCGCACCTCGACGCGCACGTACGCGCGCATTAAAATTTTAAAATGCTCAAATTCGTTCCAAATTAATTTTGCATACGTTTCAGGCCATTTTAAGCATTTTGCAAAAAAACGCGCACACGCACATTTCGCAACGTAGAATCGCCAAATTTTCTCTGTCATCTTATTTGGCACATTTTTTCAAGCATTTTGATACCTTGTTTACCTTTTTCTGACCATTAATAACGGAATGAGCGTCCGTTAAGATACGCATCCGTGCGTGCGAGCTCTTGTAATACATAACATACATGTGCAAAAACATGCCTATACAAAATTCATTGTAACTCTTCAGGATGGTTAGATACCTCCCAATTTCTTTCATATTTAAATAGATTATGAGTTGGAGATATGATTTCATGTCTCATTTGACCCTCAATTAACTCATGACGTCATCATAATGGCCTCCGAACTCAAAATTTCAATTTGCATATTATGACGTCAGCAGATTTTTGGAAAATTGATTGTATCTCTGTAAATATTGATCAATTTTCTTTCAAATTTCGATATGTTTTAGCTGAGACAATTCTCTACAGATGCAACTGCCACGAATTTTCATTTTGACGAAAGCATCATGGCGTATTTTTGCGATTAAAGGAGGCATGTCAATTGTTTACATTTTGCGTGTATTCTCTATGGGACATGACTTTTTCTGAAAACTGGATTCTACATTCCCGTCTTTCACGAGCAATATCTCCGTCGTCTTAGCTTCGTTTTCGCTGAGCATCGAGTATGTTGTAGCTGAGACAATAAGCTATCAAAAGTGTGACATTTGTTTGTCGATCAGATGCCGGGATCATGCTCATATTTCACTTGCAAAGTGAGATTTGAGAATTTCATTTTCCGTTCACGTGTAATTGCTAAGGGAAATGTTTTGGTATATCGGTAACGCACTTGACTTCCAACCTCGAGGTCCCTGGTTCGAGTCCGGGCGTCTCCAACAATCTTTTTTTTCTTTTTGACCTTTCACTGTACCATCTCCTTTGAATACTAAAACACGTAGAATCGCAAATCGCGTAATAAACAGCCATATTTACTTTATTATAACCCTATTTTCACTTGATCCATTACTTTTTGCGTGTAATTCCTAAGGGAGATGACTTTTTCTCAAATCTGGAATCTACATTCCTATCTTCTGCGAGCAATATCGACATTATTTCTGCTTGGATTATGTTTATTTTCGAGTATATTGTAGCTGAGACTATATGCTATCTAAATGTTTCCCCATTTTTTTCAATCAAATGTCATCATGGTCTGTTGATGATGATCATCAACATCATCATGATCATGATCATCATCATCATCGTCATCACCATTACTATCAAGATCATCATCATCATGATCATCATGATGATCATCATTGTTTACATGTTTATATAACTTGAAGGCAGACCACCTTATTCGTCCTCGTGACGAATTAAATTCTAGTTTTAATTTTCGTAATGCACTTCGATTCAAAATCATAATTATCGTATATAGTTTACGTAACAAATTGTAAATAGTACAAGAGAGTACACTGCACAACATTATACACGAGAGTTTAGTTTATGTGTGGTATGAAGCACAACATTTTTGTTTGTTTGTTCTTTTAAAGAAAAGATAAATACTTTAAATTAGAAAATGGTATAGTTATTCACACAAACAAATCCACAGACTTCAAATTTCCTGACCAGGTCATAAAATATTCAGTAAGAGAAAAAGAAAACTTGCTCTTTTGATTTTAAGATTTTTCGTCAAATGCTCGCAACCACACAGAATTACGACTATTGGAATACTAGATCTATTATGATAGTTATCACAGTAAATCCATTATCATATTTTCAACATTCTTAAATTGAAATATTGCTTATTATACAAATATATACACTCGTTTTTTTTTAAATTTTTATATACGTGTATATTTATAAAAACAAATAAATGGCATTGAAATAAACTGTATTCTGGTTGTAAGATAAGAAATGATTTCTTCCAACTCAGTAAATAATAATACTGATAATGATGGGTTCTTGTATAGCGCTCATATATCAGTCAGATTTGACCCTCCTGGCGCTCCCGATTATTACCCTGGCTTTAGCACGGCTGCCATACGGCGCTCTAGCATTTCAAGAAATAAATTCCTACCAGGTACCCATTTACTTCACCTGGGTGGAGTCATGGGCGTCAACCCTGGGGGGGGGGGGGGGACGGGGGGACGGGGGGACGGGGGACACGTCCCCCCCCCCCACGAATTTTCAGGTGGTGAAATGTCCCCCCCCCCCCTCCATGATTTGGGGTTAAAACATTTTTTTTCTTTCTTTCTTTCTTTCTCTCTGTGTTGAGAAAATCAAGCCAAATCAGGCGATCAGATTTTATTAATAGAAGCGTCATTAATATTTCATTCACATTACCGGAAGTTCAAACATTGGTTTACGACGAAAATCCTTCACCAACTGAAAACAAATTAAATTAATCCCTTGTATTTTCCAAACCTTATGGCTGATTGTTCAATGGAAGCGACTAATTCATCTTTCTACCCCCCCCCCCCCCCTTGCGTTCCTGTTCCTGTTAGTTGTACTTAAGACTGTTTTCTTTTTAATTTGGCAAAAATTATGCCCCAAATCAAGCCATCTATCCATCAATTTTAAAAAAAATCTTCAACTTCAAGAACGAAAAAAAAGGGGGAAAGATTTCTTATTATTATTTTTTTTTTTGGTGTGCGTGTGTGCTAAAGAAAGCAACAAAAAAAAGTGTTCCCCCCCCCCCCCCCCCCTTCTAAGCCACTAAACGAAATATCTGACGACGTAATTTTTTAATTTCCGGGGCAAAAAAAAAAAAAAAAAATTGCTCATCAAAAGCGCCTCTGAAATACTGTGTTTTACTTTTATCCTTGAATCTTTCGAATAAACAAGCCTGTGTGCGATGTAGAGGCGACCATCTAAAAAACTGGGCAAGAAATTTGACTTAGGACTATGAAGTGCGCAGCATGTACGGTACGTGATAATGCATTCGATTGCATTGTATGCTTTGCGTATGGTTAATTGTTTCGCTGTGTGTTGTCGGTTAGCAATATTTTTCCGGCCGACGTGATCGCCGTGCATGCATGAGAAGGGATTTCATATGCATTGCCTTTTCATTTTTTATTTTCATCCATGTTTTGAGTGGATTTTCCACACCTCAGACCGGTATAGACCCTGTTGGGGCCAGGTGTGAATGGGTAGGTTAAGATTCATGAAGTTAATTTTTGATGTTATCTAGAATTTAGAAATCAACAGCATTCTACGCTATGCTGTGTAGCTGTACAGTTGCACAGTACATCATTCATTGTCAGTATCAGTAGGCTATCAACGTGTACATTGTATGTAGAGTCTAATGAGCAAATACTGTAGTTACCGACTAGGCCTAGACTCTGCTAAGTATGGGGAAGGTAGGCTTAGATCTACCAGTTATAATTATAAAGGCACTAGACTAGATCTAGTCTAGTCTCTAGATCTAGATTCACTTTAGCTGCAATGTTATTGTTATTGTTACATGTACTATGTAGCTGTAGACCTAGATCTAGACCCTACACTGAATCTTTAATTCTTATTAAATATTAAAAATAACACAGAAATTTCTACTTTGACTTGTTATAGTCTAGGTCTACTTATAGGTCTAGTCTAAGAATAAGATAGCTTGCTCGTTTAGATCCAAAATTATTAATGATTAATCCGAGAAAGTCTTGTCGCCAACATGATTTGTTGTCAGCCATCTTGCCTGGCCTGGCCTGGTAAAATGACCATATTTGCAGCGGGGCCGGGTTGTCCCTGGGTCCGTCCGATTAGCCCGGATCCTAGTACAATAGCTATGTACGAGTCAGCCCGGCTTGACCCACACAGACATAGCTGCATTACTATCCTGGCTGTGTATTAAAAACTGTTCTATTGATTCTCAACATTTCAAACACCACTGTACTGATTTCACTAAAAATCAGTAGTTTAGTGACAATTGATGACACCTAAAAGCAGTAGATCTAAATACAATTTTTTCAACTTACCGATGTAAGAAAGAATGATTTGAAAACTCAAATCGTGAGTCTAAACTTGCAGATCAGCCACATTGTATTCATTGTGTGTAATGTGTGTATTGACTATTCCCTTTGGGATCGTTTGTCACCATAAAATGGTAGGATGATTGAAAAAAACATTTACTCAGAATAATACATTTCAAATTTCAAGACTCGCCCATTTTTCTATCAAAAGATACAACCCCCTAAAATCTAGGCAATATTCATCCAATTTTTGTCAGAATCAACGAAAAAGACGCACACGCAGAGTTATTTTGTTTTGAAAAAATTTAGCAAAACAGCAGCATCGCGCAATATGCAAGCGTACCTGTACGGGTGCAAGCGTAAGCGTGTTGCTTAGCTGCAAGCGCTACTTGAGCGTGATCGCAAGGTCCACCTCCGTTGTCTTCCGTGTGCAGGTCCATTCGCCAATACACAAACACACACCCGCGGTCACATGCTGTCCAAATTGCATGTGCAGATTCTATGTGCCGTCGCCATGGGTTTGGGCTGAGCGGCGCTCACGCGGACTTGGCCAGAGCTAGAGTAAATTAAAGGAGGGGGTTTTCGGCCACTTAAGACACAATCCTTTTTTTTGGACCCTTTACTTCCTATTTATTATCATTTCTTGTTCAAATCATGATGCAAATATTATTATTTAAACAAAAAAAGAATCCCAGAAAAAAATCATGAATTGCCATGGCAATATTCATTTTCATGTTCACTGTTTCGGATGTAGTTTTTGGCCTAGCGAGGCAGTTTTCAGCCGTATGAATGTGTAGTCAATAGGGAGCAGGTATGGCGCGCCGCTTGACTAATAATTCAGATAAACACTTTTTTATCTAGTGATAAAGTGTTTTTCTTGATAAACAGTGTTTTTCGGCGATAAACCATGTTTATCTGAATTATTAGTCAAACGCCGAGGCAATAAAAACACTGTTTATAGAAAAGCAGAGTTATTTGTATGTCGTCGGGAGTGGGCGCTTTTGCAAGTTGCACTCAAAGAGATTTGATCATACAGTACATATAGTTTGTCCTCCAGAGTCCAGAGGAGGACTAGAGGGGCAGCTAAATTTTTACCATTGACATTCCATAGGTTTGCATGGGATGCATTATTATTTAAACGATTTTAGAGGGTCAATATGGACTTCATTTTAAAATATTCAAATTTCTAAATTTATCAAAGAGAAGAAGCCACCCCCCCCCCCATCCCATTCATGTGTAATACCTTTTTTGTCTTGATGTAATATTATACAAATAACGCACGTCCCAGAGTGCAATAGCGGTGAATGCAGTACACGCGAGGTTTCTTTAGATTGGTGCCGCTCTGTGAACGAGCCGCTTGCGGCGAGTTTACAGTGCGCACCATCTGAAGAAACCGAGCGTTCACTGCATTTACGTTTCGCACAACAGGGTCAAGTTCGTTATTTGTTTGATCAAATAGCGACACAAATAGCAAAAACAAAACTTTAGATCTTAAGTTAGAGTCTACGAGAGTTCGATCTAGATTTAGAGTTATGTTGGTTCTAGACTAAGACCTTGCAGGCTTACCAAAAATTTGATGGGATTCATTGCCTTGATTAAAAATAAAATCCATACAGTGGGTCTAGAGACGAGTCTACATCAGACAGCTGAAATTCCTGGCTTCATTATAAAATCCAAAAGTCAAAACAGGCCTAAATCCAAGGCAAAAGTAAAATAAAATTTGCTTTTTAATAATACCCCGCTCTAGCTAGCTAGCTAGCGCTAAGCTACGCGTACGTTGCGCTGGGGATCATGGTGGAGCGTACAATATTAGCTACGCGTAGCCTACAATAATTGCAATGCACTCGAGGGAGCGCGTACTACATGTACGCGCGCGCACTGGATCTCCATGGACACGCGTATTATAACTTTTTTTGCGCTTTTTCTGCACTTTTTCTGCACTCATTTCTGCAAAATCGTGCTTGCATCAAAAGTTTATCAATGTCATGTGACACGTATTGACCAATCACGATGCTTAAAATACTAGAGCCATTTTATAAACTGTTATGTGTCATATAAAAAGATCATTATTGTAAAAATTATGTTGATAAATGAGTTCATAAATTTTAATAAAAATACTTAGTACTGCAGCTTAATTTGTTTCTTTTCATTTTCTTATTTTGTGAAAGATATGTGATGATGGTGGTGATTATGATGGCACTCTGTAATCGTAATGCGCTGTTTGACTGAGGTGTGATGGTGCTGGTGCAGTCTAATGTATGATTGAGTAATTGATGTCCGACTTTGTACTTTTTTAGTTCTGGCAGCAGCGAGATAGATTTGATTATCTTTCCTAATGAGGGAGAAAGAGGAAATATATTAATAGAGTAAGTAGGACAAAAGTATAAGCAGTAAAAAATGTTCTACAATAGAGAAAAGGGGGGCGGGGGAGCAAAGTTAAATGAAAAATAAGTTGGTGTCAAAATGACAAGGTAACCTTGCCATCATAATGTGAGAAAAAGGTCATTATTCATAGTCATTTTTAACATGATATTATTCTTGTTAGTACTAATATTATCACTATTGTTGTTATCAGCTATTATCATCATAATTATCGTTATCATCATTGTAAAAATGTCAATGGCCAATCAACAAACAGTAATTGGCGTATTTTGTAACTAGTGCTGTAAGTCAGACACTATGTTCATGTTCGGTTCGGTTCGGAAGAGTTCGGCAATTTTTCACCCGAACTTGGTTTAGTTCGGGGTTCGGTAATATAATAGCAAGCAGCGTTATAGCCACGGCGGTCGGCACTGGGAGGGACAGGCCCGCCAGCACGGAGGACTTGTGCCCACTCCTGATGAAAAACGCTGCTTCCGACCAGCAGAATTTCACATTAAAAAACTGCTCTTAACGAAATTATTTGTGAAGAAAAGTACTACTTACATTTGTATTTCCGTCTTGAATCGTGTTTTATTTTCAATTTTAAAAGAATCATGTTTTGAATTTGTCAATAAATGATATTTTTAAAAGATTTTCCGAGACGGTTGTTGTCTAATGTTAGAGTCAAGAAAGCTGCCATCTTGAATTGCGACTCAGGCTCAAAAGAAGAAAGACTTGTCAAATAGTTGCTAATCTTTGCAAACATTCACTAAAATGTTGCTAATTGTCACTAAAAATCGATAAATGTCGAACTCTGTTTTTTGCCAACATTTGTCAGAAAAGTTTGTTAGCATCTGCTGCTCAGTGAGATACACCCTTTAAAGAGTACTTAACTCATTTTCTTAAGGTTATTAGCAATCTGTAGAGGTATAATTTATGTCAATATTTCAATGAACTTTCTCTTTCAATGACCTTTTCTTGAGTTGCAGCGCATTCCGATCCGACATCAAATTTTGAGATTGTGCTAGCTCTCCAGAATTCATTGATGATAATTTTCTAGTCGGACCAATTTGTAGTAAAAAAAAGCCGTCCAACTGTTAATATTTGAACTAAATAAATTTGTGTAGAATATGAGAAATCATAGATCGAATATCATTTCCTAATATTTTGTAAAGTCTTTGCGAAACTTCGGCCACCCCATCATAATGTATCTACATGTAGTTTTAAAGGGATAGTCACATCTGTTTAGAGTTTGACCACACACTGAAGTGAATTGAAGGATTCGCTTTTTCAAATTCATCAGTCATACAATGTACTAGTCTATGGTGGCCCTGAAGGGATTAAAATTCATGACGAGATTCACGCCTGGCTGGTTTCGTCATCAATTACGTCGTCAATTTTATTTTGTCCTTGCCTGCCTAGCCTGCCTAGTCTAGCGGTAAACAATCCAGCCCCTTGAAGACGATTATGACGTTTTAAAGGCTGTTTGCTGATGATTCCATCGTATTTCATACTCTTCCAGCTGAACAGGTCAAAATTGGGGTGAATGAAGTGAAAAGCAATGTACAGAAATTATCAAAAATTGGTGCATAGATAACAAACTTACTTTTAATTAATTCAATGAAAACTAATTTTCATGTAAATAAGTAGTACAAGAAATGGTAAACTAAGATTCTAATTGTGTTGGACAGGACTAGGATTAGGTATTCAATGGGAATTGAATACCTAATTCATGCTTTTGTTATGTGCCATTTGATTTTTGTAATAGTTAGCAGTTTGGTCTTATGTCTTATCAAAATTCAAATTCAAAGATTTAAAGTTATTCCAAACTCAGCAGCACGACTCCTGACACGAACAAAGTAACATGAATCAATAGCGTCAGTCTTAAGAAATTGACGTTGGCTACCTACAGTGTAATAAGTATCAAGCTCAAAGTATTTTTATTAACCTATCAATGTTTCCATCGCTTTGCTCCATCATATGTACGTGTAATCAAATTGTAAATACAGTGTAAACAAGAACAAAGTACGCTGTGTTCGATCCAGTCAGAAGTCTTTATTTTATGCCCCTCAAACAATAACAAAATCTTACAGGGAAAGGTCATTTTCATATGCAGCCACTGTTTCATGGAATGAATTGCCAGAAAACCTTAGAAATATAGAATCATACAAAAAGTTTGGAAGTAATTTGAAAACATATCCATTTAGCACTTTGTGAGATCTACCAATTATGAACCCTTTGCACCATTTCCACTCCTTCTGTATTCTGTTCTTTAAAGCGCGTAGAGACATGCAAATATTGCTTATAATTAATGCCTATGGGTTATGCACTATATTATTCATTTACATGTAGTCTAATCACCAGTTAGTCTAATGTCCAGTTTGTCTAATTAAATGATTATTACCGGTAGACCTTATGGATAGTAGACAAAATGGGCAATTAGACAAACAGGGAATTAGACCAACTGGAAATTGGACCGAATGAGCGATAGACTTATTGGAGATTAGACCAAATGACTATCAGCCTAAATGGTCATTAGATCAAAATAATATGATACTAGATGAAACGATTGTAAGACCATGTGGATAGTAGACTGGCTGGGTGTAGACCATATGGGAATAGATCAACTGGATACAGGTAGTAGAGAAAAATGCTTGTAGACCAATCGGCCATAAACCGTTCTTTTCCACCCCAATCAGAGGTCTAGTTCTGCTTGATGAATATTTTTATTTGGAATTATTGCCTCGCTAATTGCACCTCAAAACATGCCATCTTCTCACAAATTACCTCCGCGGTCAGAGGTAGACAGCAGCACTCAACCCGGGAGGAAGAGAGCTAACATCTCCAAGGCTCCCAAGCATAGATGTACATGTATATGGAATAAAGAGCTCCCTTGACATTTACTTTGAGATTTCCCAGCTTATTTGCCTATGTTCAAAGAACTTTTATAAATTGATTTTTCTTCTTCATCCTCATGGATGTAGCATTTTCAATACTTGTGATTATTCCAACTTTTGAAATGATCTAATCCCTTAATCCAGGATTGTATCGGATTATGAAGTTAATGTTTTAGTCATGTGTCATCACTTGAAGGGAAGATCAGTATCTTGTTGTCAACAGTGATCTCATTTCCAGCTCAAGTTAGAATGTCTGCAAGAGAACTTGTGGGGGAGATGTATCAACAAATACTAAAAGTCATCTTCAAGCACCTCTTTACTTGCAATTAATGCCAGTAATTTGTATTAGGCCTCAGTCATAATGGTTTTTGTGCTAAACGTTTAACCTTTAAATGTATACGGGCATATTTTTCATGTATGTAAATTCTCAAGTATTCAGTCATTTCGATGAAGACATATTGTTTTCAGATCTTCGTATCGGCAATGTGAATGAAGTCTCACCAATACTGATTAATTTAAGAGTTCCGTATCGGCAACGAAGTCTCGCCAATAGTTATTGTTTTCCGTTCCTGTATCAACAACAAAGTCTTGCCAGTAATTATTGTTTTTAGATCTCCGTATCGGCAACAAAGTCTTGCCAATAATTATAATTTTCCAATCTCCGTATCGGCAACAAAGTCTTCCCAATAATTATTGTTTTTAGATTTCCGTATTGGCAACAAAGTCTTGCCAATAATAAATGTTTTTAGATCTCTTTATTGCAATGAAGTCTTGCCAATAATTATAATTTTCTGTTCTCCGTATCGGCAACAAAGTCTTGCCAATAATTAATGTTTTTAGATCTCTGTATCGTTAACAAAGTCTTGCCAATAATTATTATTTTTAGATCTCCGTATCGGCAACAAAGTCTTGCCAATAATTATTGTTTTATGATCTCTGTATCGGCAATGAAGTCCCGCGAATAATTGTTAATTTAGGAGTTCTGTATTGGCAATGAAGTCTCGTGAATAATGATTTTGTCTGTTCTCCGTATTGGCAACAAAGTCTTGCCAATTATTATTGTTTTTAGATCTCTGTATCGGCAATGAAGTCTTGTCAATTATTATTTATTTAGGAGTTTCGTATCGACAACGACAATGGAGTCTCAAAAGCAAAAACAATACACATGTAACAAACTGCATGAGAATAACGGTTAAACGGAGCGAGAAATGATAACGGCTTTGATGAATGTGGTTGTTTAACCATCGGTTAAACGTTTTGACTTTTGACTCGGGCTTAAAGATAAACTTTAGTACTGGTAATGCAATTGCATTGTGAAAGAAAAGGTGTGGAAAGGATCAGAAACAGTTGATCATGTAGCATGTAAGTATTGGTGTGCACTGCAAGGTTCTGGAGTCATCAAAATCATAATAAATTTGACCGAGTCTTGGTAAAGTAACAAGCACATACACAGAAAGCTATGTATGGGACAACACGCATGGTGTCGGGGCTGGTACTACCTTGATTCCTTGTCTTTCTATGCTCATTACTCAGCCAGTATACATTTTCTTCCAAAATTGTTTGGCACATGTCATTTATTTGTAATCTTGAACATTCAGTGTAAGTTTCATTTGAATCTGTGAGAAATGATTTTCTTTTTTTTACCAGTACTCAACTTTATCTTTAATCCGTATTGTATTTCCAAGTGCACAGTTCAAAGAAGATGGACTTAAAAAGGGAAGAGACAGGTCGTTTTAAAAATCCTTGTACATTTCATAAAATTTGAATTTCTTACGACAGGGGACCTTTTGGTACATCTATACAAATTTACATTTATAGTTAGCTGCATGCTTGTTTTTGTAAAATGTTTTGTTAGTATTATTAAAATGTATCTTTTTATTCAAAATGAAATGAAATGAAGATATTTACGGTAGTGTTCATTTGAGATTAATTTAAGATTGTAACATTCTCTTTGTATGTTTCATTCCTGTCCAAAGCTTTATAATTTAAGATTGTAACATTCTCTTTGTATGTTTCATTCCTGTCAAAGCTTTATAATTTAAGATTGTAACATTCTCTTTGTATGTTTCATTCCTGTCCAAAGCTTTATAATTTAAGATTGTAACATTCTCTTTGTATGTTTCATTCCTGTCCAAAGCTTTGCAACAGTTGCTGGGCTGCTTAGATCAGATATGTGGAACAATAGGTGAAAGACATGAGAATCAATTATTCCTGAGGAACCTCTTGAACAACAAGGAACTAGCAGCACTTTGTCAGGTACAATGTATATATGTAACACCATGTAGATAATTTTTTTGTTGTATTCAATTCAACTTATGCTTGACTCTGGGGTGCCTACATGACATTGCTTATCTGCACATGTACATGTAGTAAAGGTATTGGTGAAACTGAATAATACAAATGTACTGTATGCTGCACTTGGTTGCAATTTTTAATAGATACATGTACATACAACACGTATATCTTCACCTGAGTTTTTAAATTAGGCAACCAATCATAATTTTTCTAAATCGATATTAAATATTGGAATATTTTGGTTGGAATTACATTGGTGGTGGCTGATAGAGATAAGAAAAGGCCATCACTGTCAGGATAGACATGTACGTGTACATGTATCTTGATTTCCACAATTGAGGGCGCTGTTCTGCAACGACCTGTTGCATGGTATTCGTCCCAAGTTTTGTGACCTATTTTTTGAGTTTTGTGATATGTTTTTGGAGTATAACATTTGACAACATGTATGTCAAACCCGTCTCGTACATCACGCTAAATATAGTGCTATCACCACCACAACAACTTTTAATTTCCATTTTTGAGTTGCAAATTCCCCGTATTGTGACGTCATTGTGATCCGCGGGCCGTGTTGAACTCCTCTTTTGTTGTTTCCGTATAAATACGATCACAGTTGCCCTCTTTGTAGGGTTCAACCCCGAGCCGAGTCACTGTGTAAACATTGGGTTTGATGTAAACTCGCATTTTTAGTCTTTTGACTTTTTGACCAGATTGAATTAGACCTAATTTGAAATGAATTATTTGATTTTATTGTGGCATTGATGGAATAACATATCTCGTACATGTAGATTGTAGATGCGTACTCAAGTTATGGCTATTCAAATATGATAACATCTTTATGTCTATTTTAATATTTTATGTGTTTGATCATACAGATCTCTTAGTAGTAGTAGTAGTAGTAGTAGTAGTAGTAGTAGCTCTATACAGAGCAAATTTATTTTTCATTTCTTTTCACATAATATAAACAATGACAAACAATAAACGTAATGATATAACAGAAGTGAGCATTGAAATATCTTTAACATTGTTTTTGGTCATTGTAATGCAAAATGATTTGGTTACAGGAAATGAAAAAAAGGAACCTACTTGAAAGCACCCTGGTTTTAAGTTGGTTAAAAGCAGAAAAATGAGAGAAACAAATTAGTGAAATTTTGTACAATATCCTATTAAAAATCGGAAGGTTTTGAATTTTTGAATACCGTAAATGCACCCCTATTTTTGGGGCCAAGAAAAAAAAAATATGTATCAAAGTATATCAAATATCTTTTGGATTGGATTGGATTGGATAATGAACTTGTCACAAATAATAGTAACAATGAAGTTATCAGAATAATGAACTGGGGGACATTGCCAGGTGGAGGGCATAAATCGAAACTTTTTTTTTTTTTTTTTGTACCCGTGTATAAGACGCACCCCCGACTTTCAAAAAAAATTCGGCGGAAAAAGTGCGTCTTATACACAAAGATTTAGGTATGTCTTCAGTGAAATAAAAATTAGCAACACTGATGTATCTTTTATGCTCCTCTCAAATTTGATTTTACGTTTTTGTACAGAAAATTTCATTAACTTTCATTTTTCTTAGTTACCCGGTATTCGTGACAGAATACATGTAGATATGTTTCATACAGGGCGAGGGGTTGTATAAAAACACATTTGCACTCATTATATTTCGGGTGAATTTATGATTTTGAATTTTCTTAAAGGTAATACAAAGCTTTGGCATGGGGTCATGAATTTGGTTCAAATGAACATATATATTGGAAGCATATGCGATCCTACAATATTCAATGATCGTTGTTGCGGTTGAAATCTAAAGTAATGAAATTGTAAATAATAAAGTCTGTTATGTTGCATAGCTCCCTCTCAGGTCAAGATATTAAATTAGGTTTAAACAATGTTTCTTGACTAAAATCGACGATTTGCTATTTCCTTTTGGGAATTATATATCACAACTGCATATTCAGAGATTTTCATGGTCGCAGTTAACTTTGGACGGCCGTATAAGCTATTTGAAATTTATCAAAATTTACTGGGTGCACCGGTAAATTTTTATATTCCATTTTTCTCGAAAGCAGAAGAGTTTTAGGGGCTAATTCTTCTAGTGCTTATAATACATCCTCAGGGGCATCCAAATATATCAACATTTTAAAGAATCGCTATCCGGCCATTTTAAAAATTTTCAAAAACTTTGTATTACCTTTAAGTGAAAAAAAAAATTGGAATTTGTTTAGTACCGGTACATCTCAGATTTCCCAATTTGTGTTTGATTTATCACACTTTAACAAATTCATAACTTTTTTATTATCCCCTCGACGAAGTCGGAGGGGAGATAGTAACGCTCCTGTCCGTTCCTCTGTTACAAATCTGGTTTCCGATTTATAACTTTAGTAATGTTTGACAAATTTCAAATGAAATTTGATATGGAGGTACATGGTATCGAAACACAGCGTAAGTCTGATTTGGGAGTTTGTAGATCTAAGGTCATTGTTCATTAAATCATTAAATCTGCGAATCCGGTTTTCGTGCGATAACTTTAGTAATGTTTGACGGATTTTAATGAAATTTGATATGAAGGTACATAGTATCCTAATACAGCCTAAGTTCGATTTTGGAGTATGTAGGTCAAAGGTGATAGATCATAGCTCATTAAATATGCGAAAATACCTAATTACATGTATATGCAAAAATGTGGTTAAATTCCTTGCCTATATAATAGTATAGTCTTTGGAGTAATATTTGTACCCTGCGAGGGGATGCTACGCTTTGCTTTGACTTGTTTTAATAGGTTTTTGCTCAAGCTTTCACTGACCTGTTTCTCTCTCATTTTTCTGCTTCTATTAAAAAACCAACTCAACATCAGGGTGGGCTTCCCTTTTTGTCTTGCCTGCGTAGCAAAAAGCGAGACATACACTGTAGGCGCCGCTTTTCCGGCGGCGGCGACAGCGTCAAAGTCAAAAACTTAACCAAGGTTAAGTTTTTGAATTTTTAATATAATTTTGAAAGTGTAAGCTCTTATTCAATGAAACTTTGACTACAGAGTTATCAAGTATTCCCAGTCATGTGAGGAGATTTTCAGGTCACAAAGTCAAGGTTAAAGTCATTTCAGGTCAACAACTTAGACTAGTTGTGGCATCATCATCAAAAATGTAACCTGATGTTAAGTTTTTGTATTTTTAATATAATTTAGAAAGTATAAGTTCTTATTCAATGAAACTTGGATTAAAGGATTATCAAGTATCACAAATCATATGACACAAATTCCAGGTCACGAAGTCAAGGTCAAAGTTCATATCAGGTCAGTAGACTTGAATTATGTTTTTCACAACTTAATATGAGAATCAATAAATCAATTAATCAATTTTTGTGTTATTTGTTTATATTTCATGAAAGTTATCAATCTTGGTACAAATAATAGTAAATAATTCTTCTGATGATTCTTACTCTCTTCATATTGCTGACTACATTCAGAGAATTTCATATTTTAGGGCCTGCTATCAGGCCACCCTGCCCATAAATAATGTTCAAACCTCAATTTTTCATCATATTGAAATGCGTAATGCAGGCGAGACTGCAGAGAGCCTTTTCCTTGTTTAAAGGGACTTGGTAAAATTGTTCAGATGAGAGATAGTGGTGCTAAGGTAGTGACTTCAATCCTAGATGTACAATTAAAGATAATCTGAAAATTTGAGTGAAAACGGACCATTTTTCATGATCGATTCCTTAAAGGCCCACTACACTACTTGTAGCTACTTGCGCCCTCTATATAACAAACCATGCCTAATCGGTGACCATTGGTCCCCCATGATCCTCTTTTTCTTATGTTAACTGAAAGCTGAGTTGATGAGATAACCACCTGTCCAGTGACCTTGCAGGGCAGTCTAACCCCTCCTGTAAACTATGGCAGATACGCTTTAAAGGTACTATGTCCCTTTTGCAGCCAACCTCAAATGCTGTAGAACTTTGCAGGAATTATGAATATGTCATGTACATGTATGTCCTATCTGTGAAATTTAAACGTTAGCAGTGTCCTCATATTCAAATTATGCAAGGAAACCCGTTTACTTGCTAGACTTCACTGTCAGACACTATTGAGTGACTGACTGGCTTTTTTCCTTCTTTGGTAATAACATACATGAAAAAGAGTTGTAAAGGGTACATGAGCATTTGTCTTCATCAATAACCCACTTCTTGTGATGGCCAAGATTAAACTGATTGAATCTTTGTGTTTGTGCAGCATAAAACGTATGACCATTCGGTACAATTGTCTGAAAATCAAGACTATTACTTTTGGGCTCTGTAGCCCCAAAGTCGATTTGACAACTAATAGTCATTATTTTCCCACTTGAAGACATTTTCAAGCCCCACCTCTTTTAAGGAAGTTCTAAATTAGTATTATCTTTCAAATGCAGTTGGAATTTAACTTTTTCATTTTTCGGCCTGCAAATGGGACATAGTACCTTTAATTCTCCCAACTATATTGTTACAATTTAATTACATTTTAGGTGAATGCAAATCATCACAAAGCAATAAAATGGCTCTACATTCCATTCCAGACATTTAAGTGTAGACAGATTTTTTATAGCCTGTTTTATATCTTTTTTTTTTCATGGAAAAACGGTTGGGAAAATTCAAAAATGGTTGGGAGAATTTACTGTTAAGCACTGTTAGAGGGTGTCGTACATTGACTCCTTCAAAGAAAACCATAGATATCTTCGTGGTTTGAGAATTTTTTCAGATTTGTTTGCATGTCTGAGGGTTAGTACAGTAGAAGAAATATAGTAAGTAACATTTTATACAAAAATTAAGCAATTTTTTTCATCAACCTTCAACAATGTTACCGAGTCACTTTAATGTTGAAGAGTAGTGTTTTGTGTCATTCCTTTCCAAGGAATTGTCCTAACCTTTTAAAGTATAAACATGTTAGTTATGAATCTAAAGTGCTTCCAAAGTCCCTATGAATATTT